TTTTTATTACATTGAATATCCATTTTTTCCCCTCAAGGATTTTACTTAGTGTTGATGGGTATGTTATTTTTGGCTGTTATACAACTCTTTTGCCCTCTAGAATAATATATTCCAAGCCCTCTGATCCTTTAATGAAGATGCTCCAAAATCTTCTGTTATCCATCATGTTGGATTTGTTTCTTTTTAGCTGCTTGCAGTATTTTTTCCTTGATCTGGCAGGTCTGGAATTTGGCTCTAATATTCCTGGGAATTTTCATTTTGGGTTATCTTTCAGGAGGTGATCAGTGGATTTTTTCCATTTCTGTTTTACCCTCTGCTTCTACAATATCACCACAGTCTTCCTTGATAATTTCATGAAAGATAATGTCTATGGTCAGATTTCTTAATAGTCTGGCCTGTTGTCTTCTCATTACAAAGACTGAGACTTAAAATCTGGACAGTAGGGCAGATCTTAAACCTCACCCACCCTCACTCACCTGGTGTTCTAATAAGCTGTAATCAAATATAGTTGAGAAGAACTGGTGTCTCTTCCCTTGAATTTGGGGTTCCCAGCACACTTAGACCTCAACACATACTCTTCTCTCCTCTGACACTTCCATCCTTCTGGTGCTGGCCCTCATCACCTCACATCTACACCACTGCAGTAGCTGCTGGTGTGTCTCACTGCCTCAAGTCTTTCCCAACTCCAATCCATCCTCCATTCATCTACTAATGGGACTTTTTTATGGTGCTCTATCCCCTACTCAATATATTCCAGTGGCTTCCTATTGCTCCAGGATCAAGTACAAAACTTCTGTTGAGTGTTCAAAGTCATTCATGACCTAGCCCTCCTACTTTTCTAGTCTTCTTACACTTTATTCTCTACTACGTACATTTCAGTCCAGTGACACTGGCCTTCTGACTGTTTCGCATACAAGATATTCCATCTCTTGGTTTTGAACATTTTCTCTGGCTGTCTGCCATGCCTGGAATGTTCTTTCCTAATTTTCACTTACTGGCTTTCCTGGCCATCTTTAAGTTCCAACTTAAATCTCATTTTCCTAGGCAGAGCCAAGATGGCAGAGTTAAAGTAGGGACTTGCCTGAGTCCTCCCCAGAATCTTTTCAAATACCACTAAAAAGTGACTCTGAACAAATTCTAGAGTGGCAGAACCCACAAAGAGACAGAGTGAGGCAGATTTCCAGCCCAAAACAACCTGGAAAGTCAACTGAAAAGGTCTCTTGCACTGGCCTGAGAGAGGGGCCTCCAGCACACAGGGCACAGCACAGACCCAGCCTAAGCAAAACCATGGCAGGCTTTAGAGGACTGAATCACCAATAGCAATAGTGAGTTCCAGTCTACTTAGCCAACAGACGCCAGATACCAGTTAGAAGATCAGAAGGAAGGGTCTGTCACAAATGGGTGGGAAAGAGTCGAGTCCTTCTCAGGGCTTCAGGGTGCACCAATATAGCCTTTGCACCAACAAAACAGGAACAGGCACTGAGAGTGATTGAATCAGCAGCAATAGTGGTGGCAGCAGCAACAGCTCTGCTCTTGGACCTATCAGCCCATGGAATGAATATTTGAAAGTCACCTATTTAGACTTCCAGGAGGCAAGATGGCACAGTAAGGAGTAAGTGCTCTCTCCTTCCCTTATTTACCTTGTAAAACATAAAGAATATATTCTGTTAATCTCCTTTGTTTTCTCTTAGTTTTGTTGTCATATAACTGAACAGAGTAAGTTCCATTAAAATTCCTTTACATTTCTTCTGTTTTAGGTGTAATTTCTCTTTGTTCATTTTTCTTATTGTGTTTATTTGATTTTCTCTCCTCTTTTTAATCAGATGAGTTAAATAATGTCTTATCAAATTTATTAATTTTTTTTCAAAGAACTAGCTTAATTTTTTGGTTTTTATTTCTCTAACACTCTTTCTTTTCAATTTCTTTAATATTTGCTTAATTTTCCAGATTTCTATTTTTATTTCTCCTTAAAGTTTATTTATTTGATGTATTTCTATTTTTGAATCATCTTGAATTCATAAATCATTTATTATCCTGTTTTTTTAACCCATGTTTCTGCAAAAAATGATTTTTCTCTGAGTACTACTTCAGCTATAACCTCTTTTTTGAGGTACAGTTAAATCATATATTTTGATATAGTTATTTGATATAGCTGGATATAGATATGTATATATATCTGATGTAGTAATTTGGAATAATTATTTTATATAGCTATATGTAGGTATATCACAGATTCATTTTGTTGCCTTAGTATTTTCTTCAACATAATTATTCATTACTTCTATGATTTGTTATTTTATGTTCTTATTATTTAGAATTTCATTAGTTCTTTATTTTGGACTGTGTCTTTTGATTGTCCTATCATTTTAATTGTATTGTAGTCTTGGCATTTCTACAGGTTTCCTTTATTTTTATTTGTTAGTGTCCTGACACATTGTCAATTTATGTAAACATTCCATGTGGTGCAAAAAAAATGATTATTTTTGTAGTCTCATTAAGAAAGCTCCCAATTCTCCAAATTTCCTAAAGTCTATTTTTTTCCTTTTGTTTATTGTTCTATTAATAAGGGTATCCAATTTTGACAAAGGAACATTAAAGTACTCTATTATATTGGTTTTTATCTTTTGCCAACTTCGGTCATTCCTTTATGAACTTAGACATTTGGCTTTTTGGAGCCTATCAATGTAATGCTAATAATTGGTTTATTGCCTATATTTTCTTTAAATATAATATAATATCCATAATTCTGTGTTCATGTTATAAAGTTACACTTTGCTTTTTCTTATGGCTTGATTATAATTCTTGATTTGCTTTAATTCTCTTGATAAAATTTTGTTACAGCTTCACATTTTTATTCCACATTTCTCTTTGTTTTTAAAATGTATTTCCTTGTTTTGTTTTCTAGTCCAATTTCTCCCTCTATTTCATCTTAGTGGATTGTTTAATCCATCTCATTAAAAGTTATGAGAGTTAAGCTTATATGTTCTTCATTTATGCTTATATTATTGGTTTTATTTGGAATATTTGATTTCTCTTTTACATCTGTACTTCACCCTTTTAAAATTTTGCTTTACCTACTGTGACAAAGATCTATCCTTACAGGCTTCTATTCCCCACTCCGCCTCTTACCTCTCATTTGTCATCCTTTTTTCCCTTTCATTTTGGAGTGTTATTAAATATGCATATATTTTCTTTTCCTCAATTTTCCCTTCCCTTAAAAATCTTTTTTACTCTTCTACTTTTATTGGTCGCATATTTTTTATTTCCTAAGAACTATTTCTTTGTTTTGTTTTCTTCATTACTTTCATTTCTACATAGTAGATCATATTTACTTATTATTTTTCTAATGTCTTCCTCATGTAATGAAAACTTCTGAAGTACCAAATTTGAGACCCACCATCTAACCCATTTGTGCTACTACTTTGATAGAACTTTCCCTTTTACCCAATTTCCCTGATCAGGAAAATATGTAAAATATAATATATGTGCATATATACACACACACACACACACAAACACACACACACACACACACACACACACACACACACACACACACACACATATATATATATATATATATATATATATATATTCACAAGAGAAAAGAAAGAATATGAGCATTTGACAATTCTAGAAATTACCTGGTGTTCCAACTCATGTGGCCCAACTGAATTTCTTTCCCTCTGCATTGACATTTTTCTTTCTCATTTATCATCCAATCTCTTCTCTGAGCACAGGTCCACCCAACCAAAATTTTTGTATTTGCCCTTGGAGTTCTGATTTCTTTACTTTGGGTCAACCTGTGCATGGAAAAACAATGTTCTCTCAAAGCAAGTATCCTCACTCTGTACTGTTGTTGGTGTTTTTCAGTCAGTCACTCATATCCAATTCTTCATGATCCCATGGACCACAGCATGCCAGGACCACGTGTTCTTCACTGTCTCCTGAAGTCTGCTCAAGCCCATATTCATTACTTCCATGACACTTACTATCCATCTAATGCTCTCCCATCCTCTTCTCCTTTTGTCTTCAATCTTTCCCAAAATCAAAGTCTTTTCCAATAACTCCTGTCTTCTCATTATGAAAAAATGCTCTAAATCACTATAAATGAAAGAAGTGAAAATCAAAACAATTTTGACATACCACAACACTGCTATCAGATTGGCTAACATGACAAAACAGGAAAATGATAAATATCAGAGATGTGGTCAAATTGGAACTTTAATGCGTTTTTGGTGGAGTTGCAAACTGATTGAACACTTCTGGAAAGCAATTTGGAGCTGTGTCCAAAGGTCTATTGAACTGTGTATGCTTTTTAATTTTGCCATACCACTTCTATACACAACTGTATCCCAAAGAGATCATGAAAATGGGAAAAGGACTCACATGTACAAAAATATTTTCAGTAGCTCTTTTTGTAGTGGCCAAGAATTAGAAATTGAGAGGATGCTTAGTGAATGGCTGAACAAGTTGTGGTATGTGAATGTACTGGAATACATTTAATCCGTGAGAAATACAATCATGTGGACTTCAGAAAAACCTGGGAAGGCTTAATTGAATGATAGACTTAACTCTTCTCAGCAATACAAGGATCTAAGACAATTCCAAGACTCATGATTGAAAAAGAAATATGCAACCACAGAAAGAACTATGGAATCTGAATGCACAGTGAAGTACACTATTTTCTCTTTTTTGTTTGTTTGTTTCTTCCTTTTTTGTGGTTATTCCCCTTGGTTCTAATTCTTCTTTACTTTACTAATTCTTTAATTTACTAATTTACTTTATCAATTCTTCTTTAATAAGAAGCCCTCATTTCCTTTGAGATACACCTCCAACACCATCTTTAACCTATGTGTTTCCTGATGCTTCATCCCCTCCTTCTGCTCTTCTCCAACCCATCAAATTACTTTGCATGTTTGTTTTACATATACTTTATAAGTATATGTTACTTTCTCTGAAAGAGTTTCAAGACCATGAGACTAGAAATGTTTGGCTTTTCTGTATCTTTAAGAGTGACTGGCATAAAGAAGTTCATTGATCAACTGATTGCAGAATGTGTCAAGGGGAGGTCGGTAGCAGCTATGTATGAATGGATATTTGTATTTGCATTTGATTTGGATTTGGACATCATCTTAGAGGTAAAAGGCAACCACTGGATATTTTTTATTCATTATTTTATTTAGAAGTTGAGTGATACTATCAAATGTATGCATTACGAATATCACCCTGGCAGCAATACATAATCCATTATCAAAGGCTTGAACACACATGGATGAAGTATGTTGTGACACATACTCCACATGTGTGTATACTTTACATGGTTCTACAAGAATTAATACTCTTTGTCTTGTGCCTTCCCTTACACATATTTCTCTGTGATATCATAAGAAGAGGACTATGTATTGTTGTACTTTATGGGTTTCAATTTCTCTTCTCTAAACAACCAAATGCTATGCACTTAAAACCACCTTATTTTGTTACAAATGGCAAATTAAAAAAACCAATGGTTAAAGGAAACATCTCCTAAATGGATTAATCTACTCCCATATCCCTCCCAGGACATTCAGAAAACAGTTCCTACAAAATATGAGTGATAAGAATTGCTGAAAAACAGTACCTTGAGGACCCTACCATTTATGATTGTGAGATCAATTGGATGTCAGTTACCTTCTCCCTATTCCTTGGGGTTGGCACCCCCTTTGTGAATGATCTGCCTTTCTACCATCACATAGTGTAACTCACATACTTGCAATTGCTGCCATCACTGTTGATTTTTCTTCAGCAGCCACTGGTTTAACAAGACACATCTGGTTGTTCATCTTGCTACTTTGACTCACCAGTTGGCATACGTTCCTCATAACTACCATACCCCTGAAACGGCTTTAACATGCACATTTCACAAAAAAAGTGTATGTTGTAAATTTTTGGTTTTGCTTTTCCTGATAGAAAGGTTCCAGCTCCTACTTTTTTTTTATATTAACTTGATGTAGAATAAACTTTCTTCTAGGCCCTCATGATTAATTTCCATATGTCTGTTTTGGTGAGTATTTCTTATAAAAGTAGCAGACTGTGGGAATTTATTTTCTTATTCTGTGTCATTTTCCATTTTAGTCATTGTTCAATGGATGTACATTAAATATTGTAAAAGTAAAGTTTATGTTTTCCCCATTTGTTTCACATATTGTGTCTTTCTCTGGGTCAGGATGTTTTGTTTCATTTCCTCTTGTAAAGACAGTAATTTGTTTACTCAAGGAATTGTCCTTAATCCATCTTAAGGCAATTCTTATGGTACCTCTTTGTCTCCACATTAAACTTACCTTCTTATCCTTCTGCCTACTATGGAAATATTGTGTAATTTATTAATTCATTTTTTCCCTTTTAACTAATTATTTAATTGTTACTCTTTTCTTTCTGTTTAGCAATCAGATAAAATTCTTCTTCCTACCAACTTCTGCAATGTGTTTTGTTAGATTTTATTCTCATTTCCTGTATATTTTTTCTAAACAGGATTTATTTCACTTTGTGAGTTCTTTCATTCTCATCCCTTTTTATCTACTCTTGATATTTAATTCTTGGATGAATGAATATAATACTTATTTATCCCTTCTTTAATCTCTGTATTCCTTAAACAATTAAAGTTTCTAATGCTCATATTTTAAGTTTCCTCTTCTAAACAATTTCTGTTATTGCTAAAACAGAAAATATAGAAATATTATCCCAGAGTAAAAATATGTCAATATTTGATAATGCCTCTCTCTTTCCATGATTATTTCTTTCCCCATATGTTCTAAAATCTTCTTTATTGGTGCAGGTTAACTCACCTTTTTTTGGGGGTAAATCACCTGTCAGAGTTCTCAATCTCATACTAATTAGGAAAGAAACTGTCCATGGAGGCACTGCATGCTAGGCACCAAATCTCTGTGGATTCAACCACTTGGAATTTCTCTGTGTCCTCTTAAAGAATATCTCTCTTCCCGTGGGAACATTTTTCACAGGGACATTGTTCCATAACTAAATAGAGATTTCAACTTTTCTCCGCCCTGTTTTAATGCTTGTCTTTGCCACTTCACTCTTTCCTTTATGGGCCCTGTAATTCCAAAGAGACTATACCCCACACTCACTGATGAGAACTTTACCTGATATTTCACTGAAAAAATAAAGGTCATTCACTGAAAGCTCTTTTGAGCTATTCTCTCCCTTCATCTCATATTACTTAAATGTCTTTTGCCTGTATCTCTTCCTTAAACCTAGACTCACATAACGATACAACCTTTCTCCTTGCCAAGGCAAACCCCTCTACATGCACAACCGATCCCATTCAATCTGGCTTGTCTAACATATTGTGCCCTCTGTCATCCTCACTCACTTTTCCTCAATCTCACCCTGTCTGCTGGATGTTTTGTTACTCCTATGGCTCCATCCAAGATTCCTTCATGCTAAAAAATAAAAATTATATATCCCTTGGTCCATCAGTTCCTTCTATCTATTTTGCCACATCCCTCCTCTCTTTAGCAACTAAACTTCTTGAGAAGACATTCTACATTAGAGAAGTCTTTCTCCACTTCCTTTCCTCTCTCTGTTTTTATATCTCCGCAATTCTAGTTCCTGATCTAATCATTCAAATGAAAGTATTCTCTATTAATCTTTTAATTGTTAAATCCACTGGCCTTTTCTCAATACTAATATAAACAATACTCAATAATCAATACTCAAACTCTTCTGGACTCCTCTGCTGCTTCTGATGGTGTCAAAATCACCCTCCCTTCTTTGACATTCTCTTCTCTCCAGGTTTTCATGACCTGCTCTCCTGGTTCTCATCCGACCTGTATGATTAGTTCTTCTCAAACTCTTTTCTTGAATATTTCATATCCAATTAGTTGGCCATCTAGCAGGACTCTGTCCTGGGGCCTCTTCTCTTCACTCTATATTTGATTTCATAGATGATCTTAGCTCCCAGTGATTCAGTTATGACATCTAATATTTCTTATTTTCACTTAACCAGCCATACACTTCAACCTAATATCAAGACTCACATCTCCAACTGCTAATTAGACATCTTGAACTAGGTGTCAGTACACATACCTTAAACCCAACATGTCCAAACTGAACTTACCATCTTTCTTCCCAAACTTTCCTTTTTTATACCTCATCACTGTTGAAGACAGCACCATCCTCCCACTTAACCAGCCTCATAAGCCAGAGTTAGATACTACCCACAACTCCTCACTCTCTCTCTCCTGCCACACACAGTAGGTTGCCAAATGTTTTAGGTTTTATTTTAATATCTCTTGAATATTTACCCTTCTCCCATCTTCAAAAGCTACAACCCTGAGGCAGGTATGGATCACCTCATTCCTGTACTATTGTAATAGTCTATTACTTAATTTCCCTGTCCCAAGTCTGTCCCTATACCAGTCCGTCCTCCACTCAGGTATTAAATTTATCTTCCTAAAGTACATGTCTGATCATGTCAAATGCTCTATTCAATAAATTCCATTTCCTCCCTATCCACTTCTGATCAGATACAAAAATCCTCTGACATTCAAAACTCCTCAAAACCTAGGCCCTTTCTATCTTTTCAAATATTTAAAAACCTTAATTCTACACACTTACAAGTGACACTAGATATCTTGGTGTTCTTTTCTCAAAACACTACATTTCCAGGTGATGTTCCTTTTTCCTGGTTTTTCCCCTACCTTGAGTTCTCTCTCTTCTTACCTGTACCTCCTGGGTGCTCTGTCATCCCTCAAGACTCAACTACCATCCCACCTTCTCTGCAAAAGACCATTTGAAATCTACCATGCTGCTAATATCTTCCTTCTGAGATTGCATTTATTTATATTGAATACTTATTTTCAATAATTCAATAGTTGTTTATATGTGTTCTCTGCATAAGGGAACAAATGATATTTGTGCCTTTGTTTATATCCTTTGCACTTACCCCAGTGCCTGGCATTTACTAAGTCTTAGTATTAGTTATTCTCATAAGAGCAAGGAAACAAACCCAATACTGCTGACATTCATTACAATGCACTTAATACAAGCTATTCATGTAGACTTTCTGGAAGTAACATATATTTCATCCAAGTCTTTCATTTTATAAAGATGTATAATATGGTCAGTAATGGTGATATAATTTACACAAGATAGAACTGTTATCTAATATAAGTATATGGAAAAGAACATGAATCTTCCTGCTGATCTTTCTCATACTGAAAGGTGAAAGAGAAAGAAATTTCTTTTCAGGTTTGGTTATAGAGTGCTAAATTTTCATGTGATATTTTTTAAAATTCTTAGTTGTTGAATCATATCTTCTTTTCAGGACTGGAATATTGAAATTCATAGAATTGTTAGGAAAAGATTAGGTTTATGTGTTGACTAAGCCATTCATAAAATCCTTAGGAGGCCTTTGTGGCTTTCCAGGTGTACAATGAAGCTTTGGGATACGACTGTCACTGCCAATGAGCAATAATGGAGAGAGGGCAGGGTAACATCCACCAAAAAAGCTTGCAATGGTTTCCAACTCAACATCTTTTTCAAAATTAAAAGTTAAATATAAGATGATACAGTTGTGGAGCCAGTAGAACAAAACAAAACAGGTCACAAGCAAGAGTATAGTCTGTGTGGCCTTGACCTCAGGGAAGGATTTAAGGGAATGACTGCTGCTGTAAATGTGCTGCACTTGCTTACTATGTCTATAGAGGAGAAGCACCATATAGGTACTGGACAAGCCCATAAGGAAGTGAAAGATAAGGTCATGAAAAGTCATCCCAAACATAAATGCAACAGCATTGTGACTCTCATTTCTTATTGACCTTACTACAAAAATATGCGTAGCATAACGATACCTAACATTTGTTTCATTTCTGGTTGCTTCACTGTCTCGAATGACGCTGATGAAGATCAATGCATTGGCAACCCAGACAAAGACAAAATAATGCAAAATGTATTTGGGGCTTCTCACTTTGACACTAGCCCACACAGAGTTGTTGGGACTGATGATGAGGGCCTGGAACATACTCACAAGACTTGTTGTGCAGACAGAAAGTCCCCGGGCAACTCTGTAAAAGTACATGAGTGCCTTACACCCTACATCATCTAAAAAATGTCTCATTCCAAAACAAAACATGATTTCTGGAATGCCTCTGGTAAAAAGTGTGACCATATTGGCCAAAGTCAAATGAGCAAGAATCAAATCCATTGGCTTCTTCTGTTGAGGCTTTCTGAAGGAGATATAAACATAGAGCATAAGCAGCAGTGAATTCCCTACAAAACCAATGGCACATTGAAAGAAGAATGACACACCAAAGATCAGCTCACTGGATACCATTTGTCTTGGGAGATTCAGCAGATATGATGCTGCAATGAATGGAAGTACCTAAAAAAAAGGAAGAGGTAAATATTCTGAACACTGAAGTGAAAGAGTTGTGTGATGTCCATAAACATTATGATAATTTCCTATTTCTTCCAGGAGATTAAATATTGGGAATCAATTGTGTCCTATATTAAAAGTTCATAGGATCATGTATCTGGAACTGGACATTACCACAGTGACCATGGACTCCAATCACATCACTTTGTAGATGAGGAATCTAAGGTGTGGAGTAGTGAAGTGAATGGACAACTGTCACCAGAAAAGAAGAGCAGTAAAATGGTTTCTACAATACACTATCCTACTTCTCTTTTATATCTAGGAAAGTACATTCCATAACCATTGGACTTCACTAGATTCATCAATTAAGAGTTATATAATTGTTTTAGAGTTGAAAAATGAATCTAAGATTTTTTTGAGGAAAAAAACATATAAAAGGTCACTGTAGCAATAGTTTCCAAATTTCACATCATATAATTATTTGCTTTGTAGAATGCTGTCATCTCAATCTTTGTTTTCATCATACTGTCCTGAAATCATCTAAAGTCAGTAATGTGTTTAAGGTGGTATTGGTGGTATCTGTATCGTTTTAATTTTCCCTTAGGAAAGTTGAGGTATGTGGTTATACTGGCACTGAATCAAATAGGAGGATTTATTAGACTCCATAGAACAAGTTTGATTTGATTTATTTTGATCCATTATATTCCCATTAAATTATATGTATAGAGTGATTTTCCTATACTAAAACATTTCCTGACTCTGTTTTACAAAAGCTGAAGACCAAAGGATTGTCCTCACTTGTGTTATCTAATTAATCTATAAAAATTTCCCTCTATGTTGTTATTTTGCATGCAACTCACATTTATGTCTGATTTTTATGCTACTCCTGAACATTGGAAATAGTCCTGTAATGATGCTTCCTCCCTGCAGATTTTTCAAACTATTCATTAGGTTGAGTAATCATTAGAATAACAGAACCTGTGAAATCACCTTTTTAACCTTTGTTATTGTGTCAATATGATGCCTACTGTGTGTCCATGTGCTATATGTTGGGGATAAAAAAAGTCAAAAGACAGTCCTTACTCTCAAGAATTTTAATAACTTCTTTTTTAACTTTGAGGAGAGCTCATTTCATTGGATATTGAAGTAATAAATCAAAATGTAGTGACTTAAAAAAGAGATTTAAAGAAAGGAAATGTAAACACATTTGGCCATAAAAGGGAATGATATATACAGTCATTGGAAACTCTAGGTAATGTATTTTTTGAGCATTGGGTGAACATAAGTATGTTTATATGCAGTAGAAGATGGGGTGAGAAAGGAGTGAGAAACTATAATGATTGTGGGAAATCTGCTGGGGAAAATAAGATGGAAAAATGACTACCTCATTAAATGGGATAAAAGTGAAAAAGTGGCAGAAAGCATATGATGACATGAAATTAATATATGAGAAGAAGGAGCCATGATGGAATGGCTTCACATTTTTTCAGTAAAATATGAAACAAGTTTCTCAGCTGAGAGGGGAGAAGAATGGGACAGCACGAGAAGATCAAGAAAGGACAAAAAGTTTTAGAAGAGCTCCTATAATGACTGAGATAGTGCGTTAATTAGGGAGGATTAAAAGGATTGCCATGCAGCATTGAGGGCCTAGTTGAGGTTACTAAACCAACTAAGGTTATTAACCAAATTTATAATGGGCCCAATCAACACAGCTTCAGCATATTTTATTTTGTTTTTCACAGCTTTTTTCAGGAGAATATGTGCTGGAAGGAAGGCAGCAATGTACAACAAAGCTTGGGACAGGAATATCAAAAATAAGCTAAGGGGAAAGGGACTTAAGAGAAAAGAACAGACTAGAGGTAAGTAGGTTTTTCAAGGAGTTAGGGTGGTTAATGGAGGATAATGTAGCTAGAGCAGGGGTGATTCTCTGGGGAAGAATTGAGGAGTCAAGGACCAGGTGGTCATGGTGTCCATAAGGAACTACATCTTTCTTGCAAAAGGCATTATAATAAGAATAGGTGTCAACTGTCAATTTCATGAACAAGCAACCTCCATCTACACTTGTAAATCAGAACATCTAGTGCATTAAAAAAAGTTTCTCAGTGCACTTGGGGGTTCAGTGATTTGTTTAAGGATACATAGTCAGTATGTGACAGTAGTAAGATTTGTTCCCAAATCTGTCCGTCTCCAAATCAAACTCCTTATGCTGTAAACTAAAAACAAAGAAGTATTTTAAGCCATAAACAAGTATTAGACTATTTAAGGCAAAATAAGTTGTTATTTTGAAGATGACACGATGAATAAAGCATCTTCTGGACTGGATGTAAGAAAGAAAATATGAAGGGGGTGGAAGGAGAAGATCACAATTTGTGAATGAAAGGAGGGAAGAATGATAGAGGAATGAAATACAGAAGAATTAACAATGGCAGAAAAAGGAAGTAATTCAAAAAAATGTAAGATGAATTGGTCAAGAAGAAAAAGATGTAACGGAAATGAGCATGGAAAGAATAGTAAGTAAAAGGAACAATAGCGTAAATGGCAGAGAGAAATGCTAAAACATGACTTTTTAATGATTATTTTTTTTTTGATGTGCTATGTTCGGCTACCTAAGTAAAATATAGGACTATCAATAACGTTATAAAAATCTTTTACTAAATTGAATTAATTGGTTAAAGCATTTCCTATGTTGAGAGAACTATCAGGGAAGAATAAAGAATTAGAGGAAAAAAGAAAAGGAAAAACAAAACAGGGTAATAATAGACAAAATGGAGCAATAAAATAATGATGAAAAAAGAAAATGTGTAGAGCTTATATTGGGTTTCTATAGTAGTGAAAAATTATATAATCAACTAGTATCTTTCAGGAATGAAAACAGCAATATTGAGGGAGGGGGAATTCCAACAGCAGCAGCATGTTTGACAGTTAAAATTCCCCAAGACATGCTATACAAGTTAAAATGAGACTCCTGACTTCCTTTTCAAGAATTATTAATTCAGCCTCAAAAGTAATGGGGTAAATTGGGAAATGATTATAATGAAAACTCAGAGCATGCTGTATTTCTGGTTCATATCCAATTCTACTTGTATGGAGATTGAAGAGATGGTAGAAGACATTTCTAAAATACGCCAGATGTTATAAACTGTCCAGTTAGATTTAAAATAAATCTAAACTTCTTAGAAATAAGGGTTAAAATAAGAGGCCTATACTAAGAACAATGGAACTTGGATTCTTTTCATAACTACTGAAAACTTGTTTTGTGATCCTAAACCTAGTTATTTGCCTGCTCTTTCAGTATCTGATTTCCTCAACTACTACATGGAAAAAAAGAAAACATTTACCATTTGATTTTTTTCTTTATCGGTGCCATCTGTAGAAAAATGAAAGGTTGACTTATGCTATGAAAAGAAATTCATATTTTTTCAAATTACAAATAAAACCTCTTTTTGCTCTGGGATGGGCCTTAAGAGCTATTTAAAAAAAAACTAGTTCATATGCACTGAGTTTAGAAACAGGCAATTTAGAACTGGAAAAGGACCAATGTGATTTTTCCATTTAGTGAAGGCACTGTTTTGTTGGGGGGTTTTTTTTGGGGGGGAAGGGAAAGCGGAAGAAATGTTATCAATTAATCAACCCCTGAACCTAAGGATAAGAAAACAAAAAAAGTATTAAACAGGAAATACTAATAATAAAAGTGAAAAAATTACTTGAGAAAGTCGGCATGGTGGTGGTAATATTTTGTGTCTTTATAACGTGGAGGAATGGAGGCATCAAAGAAAAGGGAAGAAATAAAAAAATAAAAAACTTCCTGAAAACTAATAAACAGTGTAGAGATAGTTAAAGGGGTAAAAATTATAATATCTCTTGCTTTTTTTCTGAAAGAGTAATAGAGACTGTAAAAAAAATATTATGTAGAAAAAAGAAAAAAAATAAGATACAGCCAAATATATAAAAAAGAATAAAAATGAAAAACAATATAGTAAATGAGAAGAAAAAATAGAAAATACATAGAATGTGAGAAAACATGCAGAGAAACATATATATATACTATATAAAAATGATAGTTACATATAGATACATAGTGATATATATCAAGGCAAATAAAGAGTTTCTATATTTCCTTTGTTAATAATCACTCCCACGTAGATATTATACGGAAAAAATATGAAGACAAGACAAAAAATTCATAAAATGAAAAGAACGCATATAGTATATAAAGACGTGTAGGTGTAGCAAAAAAAATGAGGAGACACAAAAGGAAATTCTTAAAGATCTCTTCCTTGAACTTTCCCTATCTCAAAACCTGAGGAATAAAGAGTCACTTACTGAATCCTTGTGGTATCCTTGCTGTAGTGGTGAAGACTGACATCCAGTGGGGCTTAGAGGAACTCCTAGGATGGAAGTTGTAAAACCTTAGGTGCCATTGTACTGAGGGATGGGCCAGCCTGGATCTGGAGAACAAAGACTGGAGCCAAATTATAGAGGAGCAAATTAGATGAGGTCATCTCTCAATGGGTTTCTGATTATCATGTCACTACATGAAGGGCTTTGACAGCATCTGCAATGGGAGTCTCCAACCTGTGCCCAATAATTAGCATCATTAAAATATGTGCAAATCTATTATGTGCAAATCATCTACACCATCAAGTCACTGAAATTGCTCATTGCAAATGAAATGATGCTCTCTGGGAAGCAAGGCATTTGAAGTTTAATGAGTGTAACTGAGGAGTTTGATTTTAACCAAGGAAAATGGAATTCGTAGGAAGTAGGGAACACAATCAACTGTCACCTTTGTTACTCTAAAGAAATAGTGAGCAGAGGAAAAATGAAACTTTGATTTCAAATGGAATGATTAAAAAAACCTCTATCTCTACCTCTAGTTTTCTGCTAAACATAACATCCTCCATCATACCTATGATAACATCACTGTGATCCCCAAAAAAGGAAAATTGGAAGATATCTCAGAGCTATTTAACTCAAATCACTTCATTTCAGAGATGAAAGAATTGAGAACAAATGAGTGAAATGATTTGCCCTAGGTCACACAGGTAAGAAGCATCAGAGACAGGATTTGAACCTAAGTCCTCTTACTCCTGAGCAACTTGGTAAGTGAGCATCAATAGTTTGTTCTGGTCTGTGCCTGGCCAACTCCTGTTGTCCCACATGCTTGACTGAGCCAAGTGGATTATGGTTTATTTTAGGAGTGATATCCCATCTTTTGACACTAATATGAACTACCTTCTGATAGATGGGCTCTGCCACTGTGGCGTTATCCTCAACTTGGGCTAGCTGCTCTAAAACACAGATGAGGTCAGGAATAGTTAAAGAAATGGGCCTAAGGACACCTAGGTAGTTCAGTAACTAGAGCAGCACTAGACATTAACTTCTCTTTAAGTTGTCATTAAGCAAGTCAATTAAATAAGCCTCAATTTCCTCAATTATGAAATAGGAGTAATAATATCACCTGCCTTCCAGGGATGGTGTGGCAATCAAATGAGAAATTTTTAAAGCACTTAGCTCAGTGCCTAATAGGCACTTAATTCATGTTTCCTTGTTTTCTACTTTCTGTCCCTTAGTTCTTTCTTGAACACTGCCTACTTACTTAACTCACCAAGACCCATTTTTGTAGGTAAAAGAAATCAGTTTCTGGAGGGTTGTAACAAAATAAGTAAAAACAATAGGCACTGTATAAATGTTTCTTCTTGTTGTTCATCATGATAATGATGATTAGTTCAAAGCAGGATACCATAAATTATCAAATGCCATTGGCCATGTTCACAGAAAATACAAGAGTATTGTAAGGGGATTGGTGTAATAAACTGCTCTTTTCACTTCTTTATGGTCACTAGGATAGAGACCTAGTAATGTTATGGGTCGTTCAATGGGCATGCATGGCTTTGTAAACTCTTTGGGCAGCGTTTCAAATTACACCCCAGAAAGGTTGAATCAGAAGACATCTTCACCAATAGCATATTAGTGTTTTAATTTTTACACATCACCTCCAACATTTTTCATATTCGTTTTCTGTAATATTAGCCTATCTGATAGGTGTGAGGAAGCTGAGAATTGTTTTAACTTGAGTTAATCTCATTAATTATTATTTACAACATGTTTTATATGATTATGGATAGCTTTGATTACTTTGTCTGAAAACTGCCTGCTGCTGTACTTTGACCATTTATCAGTTGAGGAATGGCTCTTCTTTCTATAAATTTGACTCCGTTTTCTATGTTTGAGAAGTGAAGTCTTTAGCAGAGAAACTTACTGTAAAAATTTTTTTAACAATAATGATTCACCACTATGTATTTCTCTCCATCCCATTTTCCTCCAGCTTATCCTATTCCTTCTCTCCTTTTACCATGTCCATTCTCTAAGGTTTCATTTTTCTGACTTTTAATCTATCTCAAACTGTCCTCCCCTCTAGCAACAGCACCCACCCTTTCTCTTGTCTCCTTCATTCTACTTTCCTGTGCGGTAAGACAAATTTATACACCTGACTAAGTGTGCATATTATTCCCTCTTTCTGTCAATTACAATCAGAGTAAGGTTCATGTTTTCCCCTCCCTGGTACCCTCAATTTCCCCTCCACTGAAAAATCTCTTTCAGGCAACTTTTATGGCAGATAAATTATCCCATTATACCTCTCCCTTTCTCTTTTCCTAGCATGTTCTTTCTCAGGCCTTAATTGTATTTCATAGATAATCATACAATCACATTCAACTCACACCTCTGTGTTCTGTCCAGGTATACTCCTTCTAACAGATTTAATGATGAGAAAGATTTTAGGAGTTAAAAATATCATTTCTCTATGTAGGAATGTAAACAGTTTAACCTTATTTAATCCTTCAGAATTTGTCTTTCCTGTTTACCCTTTATGCTTCTTTTACATCTTGTTGAAATCAAACTTTCTATTCAGCTCTGGTTTTTTCATCAGTAATGTTTGAAAGTCTTTTATTTCATTGAATATCCAATTTCCCCCTGAAGGATTTTACTCAGTGTTGACGGATAGGTCATTTATGCCTATAATACAACACTTTTACCTTCCAGAATAGTATATTCCAAGTCCTCTGATCTTTTAAGGTAGATGCTGCAAAATCTTCTGGTATCCATGCTGTTTCTCCATCATATTTGCTCTGTTTCTTTTTACCTGCTTGCAGTATCATGTCCTTCATCTGGCAGGTCTGTAATTTTGCTATAATATTCCTGGGAATTTTCATTTTGGGATAACTTTCAGGAGGTGTTGAGTGGATTCTTTCCATTTGCATTTCATCCTCTGGTTCTAGAATATTAGCACAGTTATCCTTGATAACTTCATGGAAGATGATGTCTATGCTCAGATTTCTTAATAGTCTGGCCCAGTTGTATTCTCTTAACAAAGGCTCAGACTCTGAAAATCTGGCCTATAGGGCAGATTCTTAAAATCTCACCCATCCTCACTCACCTGGTGTTCTAATAAAATTTATCTCTGGCTGAAGGAAGGCTTGACTCAAATACAGTTGAGGCAGAACTTGTGTAGTTTGCCCTTGATTTTTGGTTCGCAGTAGTCTAGACCTCAACACATACTCTTCTCTGACACTTCCATCCTTCTGGTGCTGGCATGCATTACCTCAGACCTGGACCACTGCAGTAGCTGCTGGTGGGTCTGCCTGCCTCAAGTCTTTCCCCACTCCAGTACATCCTCCATTCAGCCACTAAAGGGACTTTCCTATTGTGATCTATCCCCTATTCAATATATTCAATGGCTTCTGATTGTCTCCAGGATCAAGTACAAAATCTTCTCTTGAGTGCTCAAGGTCATTCATGACCTAGCCCCCTCCAGTCTTCTTACACTTTATTCTCTACTACATACACTTCAATCCAGTGACACTGGCCTTCTGGCTCTTTCACAAACAAGATAATCCATATCTGCAAGGTCCTGTGTAATCCTGAGTGTGGCTCCATGATATTTAAAGTGTTTCTTTCCGGCTGCTTGCAGCACCTTCTCTTTCATCTGGTAATTTTGGAATTTTGCTATTATATTCCTTGGTGTTGTCAATTTGGGATCTCTTTCAGGTGGTGATTGATGGATTCTTTCTATGGTTATTTTCCCTTCTGGTTCTAGGACTTCCAGGCAGTTTTCCTTTATGATTTCCTGCAAGATACCGTCCAGCCTCTTTTTTTCACCATGACTTTCAGGTAGTCCAATAATTTTTAGATTGTGTCTCCTTGATTTTCCAGGTCGGTTGTTTTACTGATGAGGTATTTTATGTTTTCATCTATTTTTTCATTTTTTTGTTGTTGTTTCTGTTTGAATGATTCTTGCTCTCTCATAGAGACATTAGTTTCCATTTGTTCAATTCTAGTCTTTAACAGATTGTTTTCTTCTGTTAGTTTTTTTCCTTCCTTCTTCAATTGGCCAATTGTGATTTTTAGGGACTTGTTTTCTTCAGCGTATTTTTTTTCCAATTGGCAACTTATATTTTTGAAGGACTCTTCTGCCTCTCTCATTTGACTATTAAAATCCTTCTTCAGCTCTTCTAAGAAGGCATTTTGGGCTTCAGACCAGTTCATATTCCCTTTTGTTGTTGCAGATGAGGGTTTGTTGACAATGTTGTCCTCTTCAGAATTTCTGTCTTGATCTTCACTCTTCTCATAATGTGAATCTATGGTATGTTTCTTTTTATTCATGGTTTCTTTATTCCCTGGCCTTTAAAGAGATTGAGCTCTCCTGCTGGGGAACAGAGGACACTGACCCAAGCTTCTTATGTTGGGAGTCTAGGTCTTGGTCACTGGCTTTGTGTGCTGGGGCCTCTTATGTTGGCAAGTGGAGGCTGTAGGTTTCTGGCAGCTTATCTCATGTTGGGCTGGGATCAGCAAGGCTGGAACTTTCAGGCAATTCTAGGTTGCCTGCTTTTCCTTTCCTTTAGCTTTCTTCAGCTCCTTTTAGATGGGTGCTGCAGGGTGTTTATCGGCCCGGGGCCCCCTGCAGTGTTGTCTCCCTCGTTTCTACTAATGCACTGGGAGATTCCTATGCGGTAGATTGCAGAGGCACCTGGTGGTTTTCTGAGCTGGTTTCCATTGGTTCCCACCTCCCCCGCTATTACTGAGGCACTTGGAGGTCCAGGTGTTGGTGTTTGCCTGTTCTACCACCTGGGCTTCAGGATTTCTTCACAATTGGAGGCTTCAGGGTTCCGACAGCTCACCTGGTATTGGGTTAGAATCAGCAAGGCTAGGGCTTTAGGAAGACTTTAGGTTGTTTTATTCACCTCCTTTCAGACGAATGCCACAGGGTACTTATCCACCTGGGGCCCCTTGCAGTTCTGCCTCCATTATTTTTGCTCAGGCACTGAGAGACCTGTTTGCTGGGCTGCTGCACTGTTGCTCCCCATCTTTCTTCTACTTCAGGTGTTCCAAGGTTTTTTTTCTGGGGTGATATTTTCTGGGTTTCAGAGGTTGATAGGGGAGAGTGAAAGCAACTACCTTTTC